TATTTGTTATATATGAATTTATTTATTCTACCTACCAACAGCCCTGGACCTAAAACAGAAGCGCATGAAAAAGTATTCAACACAACGCTGCAAAAAACACATTGTAACAAAAGTGAAATGCTCCTCTTGAACGACAAAATGTCATGATTGAACGATGTGTCAAGATGATTTAAGAAGTTCTGCATGCGAACTAGGAGAGGCAAGCAATACATGGTGTTAAAGTATATGTGGGATTACAGCAAAAATATCTTTCAGGAACTTTATTCTTGACGTGAGATACTTTAATTGAACAGTCGTGACACGAAAGCAAGCACTTGAACAAAATACTAGATCACCACTTGGCCCGAAAAAGCTCAAACCAGTGCCCTTTCACTTTGAAGTCAACATTCACACATCCTAGACCGCCTTTGTGTGGGCTAAAAAAATATTGGAGCATCGCGTTCTTTCCAAACAAGAATTCCAAACAAACGTCCCACAGATGCATTGCATTTGTTTGGCAGGCCACAGCGGGAAATGAATACCATATACAAAAAGTACCGCGTTCCATACGTAGCTTTGGCTTAAAAGAATTTTTTTTATTTCTTGTAACTCGTACCCGCCCCACGGACGGCATCTAGCCTCACGCCTCCTTCCCCGCATTATAGCTTGGTTAACTCTAGACTGACCCACAACGAGGCGGTCCACCGAACTGCCAAAAACATTTCTGACATCGACGGCCATGGTCCCAGCCAGGCACTGGATAATTTTGTTTTTTAGAATCATCTCCGCCCCCTACGCTCTACAGAACATTTTATTGCGCGAGAGCGCACGCCGTAGCTTTGGCCTCAAAGAACTGACAACCCTCACATCATCTGCGTAAGCGAAAAACTTGATAGGCGACACCACTAAGCCAGTCCCCCCCACCTCCCCCGCCCCCCACCCCCCCCCCCCCCCCGCCTTTTTCCGTGTTTTAGTATCATGCCTAATTATTTGGCTTCACAGGCAGGAAGTGAGAGAAAAAGTGAGCAGCTCCCCCCCTCCCCCCTTTTCCGTGTACTAATATCATGCCTCTTTAATTGGCTCCACAGGCAGGAAGCGAGAGAAAGGGCGAGCAGCTTCCCTTCCTCCACCCCCCCTTTTCCGTGTACTCATATCTTGCCTCTTTATTTGGCTCCACAGGCATGAAGTGAATGAAAGAGTGAGCAGCTGTACTAAGTATAACTTGGGAACTAGGGTAGTTGACGACTTTCTGCGGCGTGTGTTACATAGTCCGGCATAGTTACTACGGAGGCGACCATCAGCCTCCTGCTGTACTTAGTCCAAAATACTTGGTACGCATGTAACCGTCAGAGGCGAGTCATACAATTTGGCTTCATGTTCTCTCAGTCTGCAAATTGTGTTTGAATGCGACAGCTCTATAGGGTGAGTGGCGCTCTTAATTCAGGTGGTGCCTGGGGCAGGATGAATTTTAGATTTCAGTGCCGGGGCTGTGTGTTGCCTTTCGTTTAGGTGCTGCATATGACAGGGTTTTATATAAGAACAGACTAAGTCATATTATTTTCTTTCTATGACGCTGGGCGCGCTTCTCTTAACCACCACGCGGATGCAAAGTCTTTACGCTGCATTTTCTGGGTCACCATATAAGGAAACGCGTGGTTTCCTGCACTCTCCACTTTCCCTCGTTCGGCGAGCTCTTTCCACACCACCTGCTTCTGCTATTCTCTTTTTGCCCTTTCCACTTCTTTCACTGCGCGCGCTTTCTTGCACCACCTGGTTCTGCTTCTCGCGGTCCAGTGTACTGGGTCCGTAGCCAGGTTCATTTGCGGCTTTCACCCAAAGCGGATTTCACGGAAACCAGAAAACAAACACCTAACACGGGAACCAATCAAGAACGTAAATTTTTTCTCGTGGACATGATGGCACTAGTTGGTATAGCTCAATTCGGACTCTAACCTAAGTGGTAGAATTTGGGGTCCACAAATATGTTTTCGCACATTACCATGTAATATGCGAAAACACGTCCCTGTTGTATTCTCACGAACATGCGTCCCTGAATGTGTGCACGCCAAAGGTCACAAAATTGGCACAATTTATTCCTTTTTTTTTCTTTAGTAGCTTTTAATATGTTTTCTGGTCGTGTTGTGATACTGAGGCAGAATTATTAAAGAAACGGATGGGGTTTGGCGTCACATGCATACACATCAACACGGACAGATGTAGCGTCAAGTACAGGTAGTTCCTTGTTCTCCCACTAAATTTAGGGAAGACGTTTACCATGTCCAGTGACCTAGACTGATCAGCACTTCATAGTGAGATGGAACGTACTGTGCGTTCACGGGAGTTGGGCAATGGCGTCTAGAACGCGTTCCCGACTGGGGGTTTTAACGTCCCATCGTGGACATACATCAAAAGTCAGCCCGGAGCGCCAACAAATGACGTCACAGGAACCGGAGCGCCATGCTGTCAAACGTCGCGATCCTGGCGGTTGGTGGTAGAAATGCAGGCGAAAAGCACGAGGAAACGCGAGTGTCGCTGTCGTCGCGGCGTCCCAAAGTCTGACTGCCAAAGCATCCGTGGACGGCTTCATATGAGTGCGACCTGCAGCAGAACAGGCGTCTACCCCATCCACCACCGCTGCTGGGAGACCGCCAGGATCGTGTCCGGCAAGAGCATAACACTTCTATGACGTCACAAGGCGGAAATCGAATGACCACTTTCTGGGGATGCGAAACGTTCTAACACCATTGTTTGTCGGGGGCCGGAACTTTTTTTTTTTTTTGGTGCTGTTTTTAACACAGAAGGTGTACATGACCTGGGATCAATAGACAGGTTACGGGACGCCACGAAAACCGTCACATATATACTAAATGTAATGAACCTGCGTCTCACAATATTTAGCGTCGGAAACATGTGACGCGCAAAATATCGGTCACCAGACTTGGAGGCCGGAGCTACGTATTGCGCGAAATTTAGCGGAAAGCACAGCTAACAAGCACGATCCACTTTGTCATAAAAAACGACTCTATGCGGTGGCAGGTTAAGTAGGCAGTAACAGGTCCGCCTTAAGCAAGAGCTCCTCGCCTTTTCCCAGCTTTCATTGCAAGTGCCCTAGCAAATAAAAAGTTCGGCTCCTAGAGAATCTTTACTAATGTACTCATTTATGTAGAGAATTAGGATATATGTGTGTATGTACACTTTAAATTATACATATGTTACCTTATCAAGATGTGCACGTTTCAACCGCCAAAAGCATCGCTTCTTCCTCTGACAACCCAGTATTGTAAGAACTAGCACGCGCGGCGTGTGAACAATGCGTAAGAAATATTTTTTTCCCGAGGTGAAAACGAGTAGAGACATAATTTGCACCAACGTCACATCAGCGGTAGTTCACGGAGGCTTGCCGCTGAGCGCGTACAGTGGCTAGTAATGTAATCTAGAATGCGCAAATGCCGACCAGACCGCGAAGACCACGCAGTCTACCTAACCGAGAGTGGACGGTTAGGACGGCAGTAGAGGCGTTTCAAGGTGAGTACTAAACCGCAGCGGGATACCTTCCCTACACCCCACGAAAGCACGGTTTCCGTAGGACAGAGTGGTCTGTACCAGTCATGGGTAAGTTACATTTAAAAAGTATTTCGTTACAGTTACAGTTACTTTCAGAAAAAAGTAGCGAAGTTACCGTTACAGTTACCGCAACAAAAGAGTAACTCGTTACAATTAAAGGTTACTTTCAAAAAGTAACGACGTTACTTTCAGTTACCTTCCAATAGCACAAAAATTAAGAAAAAAGTAGTGTTTGAAAGAAAATAAATTATAGACACGAATCAGTCGGGCTTCTACCATAGCCGTAAATTCAAACTTGATAATTTAGCTGGAAAATTAGTCAATATTATGAAAAAAAAAATAAACACCAAAATTCAACTGGATCTCAGATTTGAGCACGAAGACTTGTTGTCGGAGTACTCCTTGTTGCAAAGTTTGCATACTGCGATCAAATAGTTAACAACCACCTTCATCACAGAAATGTACTCTGTTTGCCGGCCATGCTATAGTTGTGTGTTCTGTTCTCATCAACATCGATATATCCTTGGTAGCACTAGCACATTGCCGGCTCGTTGACGGTAGCGCTGGGTTCATGGACTCCTTTGATATATTTCAGTTCGTACCCGGCAAACCAGAAACAAGCCCTGCGCAACAGCAGTAAATTTTGCCTCCACCGTTGAAACCACGCCAGAGTAGTACAAATCAAAATACTAAACATGCGCAGTGCAGAGTAGTGGCGCTAACCAAAATACGAAACATACGAAGTTTCCTCCGCGTGTATCGTTGTTTCACGGTTGATTCACTCGATTAAAAATCGTGCACAGAAAAACCCCCAAAAAAACGCAACAGACATAGTGTTTCAATATACTAAGATGTAAGTGTTCAGTCACAAAGTAGAAGCAAATGCGTAAAGATAACAACATTCTTCTTACTTTTTTTTTTCTTTTCTTTTCATAAAATCTACACGTGGCTATATTCGGGTCGTGACTCGCGAGAAAGAACGTTTTCTCAAGTTTGTGCAAGGCCAACTGGCACTCGAAATGTCGGAACAGACATTTTGGAAAGTGCAAGGAATTGCTAGATTATGCTCGTTTATGATATATTATTCACAAAGAACTGAAAAGTAACGACAAAGGTAACGTCGTTACCCCAGTAGCACAGAGCTCCGGGAGAATCTGGGGTTTGCACGGCGCATTCTGGGATTGGGTCGGTCAATTTCGGCGCGCAAATTGCCGGATTCCAGCCGCAATACGCCCGCCTGAGAGCGTGACGTCGGGAATAAAAAACAACAACAAAAAAAAAAATGTCGGTCTTTCGTTGCCGTAAACTCCCGCTTTCTGCCGGAGGAGACACGTGACGTTTTCCTCCTCTGTCTCGCGCTCCCTCGCCATTTCCGGGCATGAGCTCGAAGATTCTGGCAAGCCGGAGCAACGGACATGCGCGAACGGTTCATTTCATCACTTCGCGCCAAATCCGTGCGCCCGGCGACGCCATCGCGAACTTGTGCAAAAGTGAAAAGGTGCGGAACGAGGAGGAACGGGGCGCCTAAGGATAACGGCAGCAGGTGAGTACAGCGCTTCCTTCAATTAACCTGCATTTCTTTTCGTAGTTTGTTCCGGGCGCTTGCCTTACGTCGATATGTGTCGGTTAGAATGGGAAGACTGCATGTTTTCAGCGCTTCGTCGCTTTGAGAGAACCTGGCGGCCAGGCCGCCAGGTTCACTCAAACGGAATACATTCGAGCGCTCTGGAGCCCGCGCCGGCGCAAAGTTGGTGTTGTTTGCTTCTTGTTTGTTTGGAAGTTGATGTCAGTGCCCGCCCAGTGCTATAAAATAGCTGATTGAGCCGGCGGCTGGAGCCTGAAAGCAAAGCTATGGTTGGTGTAGCATAACGAATGAAAGCATATTCCTGCCAGCACATCGGGGTCCAAAAAGCAAGATCTGTCCTCTTCACGGTGTTAGCTAATGATTTGTAGGTGTGGACTGTGTTTTTCTCGGCTACCAGATGGAAGTTGGCTCGTCGCTTTGGTTTTAAGCGACGCCGGCAGATGACTCGTCGAGCTGGAGTCATCCCGGGACACTTCTCCCATGCTCTTGGGATTTTTTTTTTTTTTTTTGCTTTTACGCAGTCGCGCCGTTCGACGGCTGACATTGTCAGCCGTGGGCACGGTGGCTGCAGGATGATGAGCCTTTCAGATACTCGTCAACCGAACGTTATCCGTTTGATCGCGCCGCACATTTAGCAACGCAGTTTCCTCACCTAAAGCGTATACCTTGCACCGTTGTCCTTGCGTGTACCCGAAACAGTGGCAATATCGAAAGGCATAAGAGCGAAGTCTCTTTCAGAGAAAGCGTCGGTTGAATTTGATAGCCTTGGCAGCTAGAGACTTCGGACTCCCAATCGGTCGCATCGACAAGAAGACTTTTCGAGCAACTGGATGTTTTTCCTGCAGCGACCGCGAGGGGCATTTCGAGCAGAAGTAGGTGTGGCTGACATGATCTAGCCCTGCCATTCCCCGCACGCACGCCGGAGTGTTTCTCGGGCAATTGTAAAGCCATATATCTACGTTCTTAATTACTCCCTAAAGATATATGTTCCTAATGAGCATGTCGGGCTGGGGCTGTGTTTTTGTATTACAGAATTTTTTTTTTATTCGTTCGTTTTTCTAGTGTTTTGCAATGCATGTGCAGTAAAATAATAATGTTCGTTGGGTTCTAAATTAACTGCAGTGACTTACTTTACTCCTGCATGGTTGTATGTCATACATTCGCTCACAAACGTTTCTGTATTCGCAGTTATCCCACTCCTGCACTCAGAGCCCAAGGTTGGTGAGTCTTCAATGCAAGTTGAAATCTCCAATAAATTAATCCTTTAAGACAGAGGTGATACACCCTTATTGTGGCCCTTGCCACGCAGCAGTTGCTTGCGAAGTGCCAACTTTTATGCCATGAAATTAATTGCTAATGGATAACCTGCCAGATCTATTCATTCTGAGTGAAGTGCACGGAGACATTTCTTTAAATTTACAGTAATGTGTCTCTTCAGAATTGATGTTACGACTGAAAAATGTTGTCAACGCTCCTCTCGACGTACTGGCATATTTTATCTCCAGGCATTTCACATCATTACAAATGGAGCTAACAAAGAAAGAACCTTGCAGTCGTGCCACTGGCCAAACACCGCAGCCAATTTAGACCACTGGTATGTGCCGTGCAAAATTTAAAAATTCGAAGTCGGCTGGAGTGCAACACTGAGCGCGACCATTTAGGCTTTCAAAATGCTTCCACCAAACCTAAATGGCTGCACTTGAAGGCTTTGCTTTCCTTCCAGGTTATAGAAGAACAGAATATATGTATTCACTCAAGGTTCACCTTTATTTCTTCCTCATGCAGGCTGACCAGCCATGAATCCAAAACCAGGCCAATGGTTGGCAATTGTGGGGTTCTTGGGAGAAGAAGCGACCAGCTCTGTGCCGCTTTCCTGGTTGACCGAAGAGCTTACGAAGTGCTACTGGCCGACAAATGTCACAAGTGGAAGACGGGAGTCTATGATCAAAAGTAATTCCCTACCTGGACCATGGCGCAAGTTCCCCATACGTGTCTTTGGATATGCATGTAAGTTTAAAACGGGAAAACACATTCGAAATGAAACTACTCTAATACCTGCTTTTTAAGACGCAAATGCTTGCTTTCAGCGTCCTATGAAGAAGCCTGCGAGAAAGTCACTCGCTCTCTGGACACGTCTACAATAGACCCTGAGTCAACAGTTGATGCAAATGAGCTTGACAGTGACCTTGAGGAACCTCGGACTTTCATAACCCTGAGAACGTAATATACCGCACTGACCATTTTGAAAATTACCCCCACTGGTGTAATTTTCTACATTCTGTTTTTATGTCGTTACCATTCCAGACCTTCGCTCACTCCAGCTGTCCAATCTGTGCCCTCTCTGCTTGCTGGAGCAAAGAGCAGTGGGGTCTGCAGGCAGTCCTTTGACGTCGTTTCGTCCGCTACCATCAACACAACAGCAAGAGCCTGTATTCAAGCACCAGTAGTTAACCAGCGTGATGAGAGTGGTAAGTAAACTGAACATTTTGTTCCTTACATGTGATATCGTGCAACATAAATTCAAAGGATATCTTTGAACCTAAGGTTGCATTAATTTGCATCACGGACTAACCTCTTCGATGCACTAATCATAGCTCCACATTGTCTTTTCGCAGCTCCCTTTAAAAAGATTCTCACCCTTATGCTCGAAATAAAAAATACCGTGAAAAGCTTGGAGGCACGTGTGCAACGGCTACAACAACAGCTGGATGGCCTCTGTCCAGAAACTACTCTAGACACTCAGCTGCCTGCTTTCCCACTGCCATCAGAAAAAAATGTGGCTGCACTGGAGCCTAAACTTGGGCGCCCTGAATTTCGAAAGGAAATGGTAAGCAAAACATGCAACATCGTCATTACACTGAAAGGTGTTTTCTCTGCCAGCTTTCATCAAAATTTCCAAGATAACATTTGCAATACATATTCCTCCGTTGTGGCAAGAATATATAATCTTTCCCACTGGGCGGATTCTCGCATACTATACATACCCATTCCTATCCTGCTGAAACACATTGACGCAAACACTACCACAATTTCTTTATTTAGCGTGGTTCTTTTGCCTATCGCTTGTTTCTCTTCATATTAATGTACGTTCATTAAAATAAGGACACCAATTTCACCTAACAGAAATAACAACGTCAATAAATGTTTCGCTTCGCATACCGGAGGGCATCATCAGTGCATACAGAAAAACGAGAAAGTTTCGGTCAACGCAGCCCTACCTATCGGGAATGTCCATGTATACTTCCAAAAGGAGGCCACGGTTCCTGTTGCACCCTGACGCATCGCCGCGGATGAATGACTCAAATAGCTTGCGTGCGCCCCACCTATCTCCCTTCGCCTCCGTTGTTGCGGCCGTAACGTTGAAATTATTTCCTGTAGACCACGAACCCCCTTTTGAGATGAATCGCGTTCGTAGCATACTTTGTCCCGGGATTTTTTTGTTATCAGTTCTCGTTCAACTTGCAGGTCTCCTACCTTGAACGTCTTGGAGGCGAGACGTTCAAAGATGCTGTAGTCATAATGACAAAACGACTCCTCTCAAATGAGGTGATGTTACTGTACACTCTCAAAGGCACGAGCACCAAAAAGTGCTTTGAATCTCTGGCTCTCTATGGATGCATGCGAGGTAAAACCTGTTTTCTCTCATATCTCGAAATAATTACAAATTTGATTGGCACGGGTAAGACTCACATCTTGATGCTGTATCGGAAAAGTTCAGATAGTTTCTCCTAGTGAAAGGCTGCATTTTCATTCAGCGCATTAAAGCGCATCAGTCGTGCGTGTTCTCATCGTCATCCATCATCATGGCAACCAAACCAGTCCTACTCCGAAGCTCATTCAATGTGCTTGACGTGAAGTTCTTCTGGTTATATTAATAATTATTTACGCGAAAAGATAAGAAGAAAAAGCAGAAAAAACGACATTGTTCTTTCACTGAGACAGCAGAGTAGTTTGTAGATAATGGAAAGGATGTGTCCACGTCCTCCGCGGTTTTTTTATTATTTCGCACAAATTCATTAATCAAGCAGTATTCACTATAGTAGCAACATACAGAAATCATCCTGTTGTTATATATATGTACAGCTGTAACGTACAGCCTAACGCGATATAAGAAAAAGAACTTCCGACAAGGCAGTTTCTTCAGCGGCATTGGGCCCACAATGGCCATATGCACTTTAATTTGAGGGAGATTGCAACAAGGGTTCATTCTCCAACACCGCCACCTGAAACTACCTTGTCGAATGGGACTGTTATGTGGCAGAGACTGTATGCTCGTAATGACTTGGTATGTCACAACTGCGGTGTACACGCTGTATCTTTGTGTTTCAGATGTGCTGCTTAAACGCTTTCCTTCCACTGACGGCACACGGATCGCACAACGTATTGGAAAATGTTTGTCAGGAGCCTCCGACAGAAAAGGCGGCCGGGAGAAACGACGAAAGGTGATGAGAGCAACAGTGGAAAACAGAGCACTTCGTGGAACTGACACACCGACAGATGTAATTTAAATAGAAAGAACTATGTTGTACCCTGGAAATTACGTAACTGGATATGTTAAAACATGTTGAACCTCAAGGAGGGACACTAAATTAGTTATTTTTGGAACGACTCTTCATGTGATAAGCTACTCACGAATAAACAAAATGTTTAGTCAATTATTTTGCGCAAATGTCTTTCTTTAGATCCTACCGTAGAGGGATGCAGGTCAGCGAAAATACCGCACGCCGGCACGTTTCGCTACAATAACCCGCTACGAAAACCAGAGGGAGAGACCGATATCGGTCTCCCTTCTTTGCTTTTCGTAACGAGCCTTTGTAGCGAAACGTGCGGACAGTGCAGCGCAGCCCGTAACCCTTCGGTGTTGCAAAACACCTCCGGCCCGGTGTCGGCTGCCCCTGAAAATGCCGAAAAAGGGCGAGGCCGTCCCAGAGCCGGCCTGCACGGTTGTGCTATTGGAAAGGCTCCGGCCCAGCTACGGCGTTTTGCGGTACAGCCGCAAAACTCTGCACACGGCCCGTAGCCGATTGATGTTGCAAAACAGTTCCGGCCCAGTTCCGGCTGCGCCTGAAAATGTCGGAAAACGCCGAGGCCGCCCCAAAGCCGGCCCGCACGTTTGTGCTACTGGCGTACTTTCATGGTTACTTCAGAAAAAGTAATAGAGCTACAGTTACAAGTTACGTTCTTAGAAAGTAACTCGTTACAGTTACAAGTTACCGAAAAAGTAACGAAGTTACAGTAACGCGTTACTATTAACGCGTTACTACCAAGGACTGGTCTGTACTGCCTGGTCGCCGTCTGCGCATTCTAGTAGATCCTATCGGTAGCGCCGCTGCCTAGTTCAGCTTATATTTTGCACCAGCCAATCTGTTTCTGTGGGTGAAAACGAGTAATAATAAAGAGTTCTAGTATTGAGTAAAAGAGCAAACTAATCCGCTGTGCGCTTGCGTCAACGCTGGGTGCAAAACGTTGCGCATGCGCGTCCTCCCCGTGCGCCACCTCAAGACCGTAGTGGGGGCTCCGCTTACTCGAAGCGTGAAACAAGTATAACGCTAATGCAAACGCACATTGCTTGCGTTCGCTCGTATACACACTGAAAAAAAATTTCTAATTACCAGCAGCACGATGCATTGACGTAACGTGGAAGCCATGTATATGTGTGAAGTGTCAAATATGGGCACTATAATCACTGAGAGGGTAGGAACGGCATGGATGACTTTAAGTTGTCCTGCCTCCAGCGCGACCTTCCTACTAACGATAAAGCCTCGGTGATTCTTCGAGCATGTACGCGCAACCGAAGCAAATTGGAATCTAAAGAGAAGCTACAGGAGATCGGCATCCGAAAGAGGAACACTGTCGTTTTATTCCTGTCGATGACTATAATAACCATTCCACACAAAAATAATGCGTCTCCTAGAATTGAATTTGTACTAAAATCGACCTTTTTCCTTCAGGTCTCCAAAGCGTAATGGGCCTCAGCGTGCCAGGTCTTGTTGCCAGCGTCCTCTTCTATGCACTCATCGTGGCCGTGGGCTTCTGGGGTGCCCGGAAGAGGCTAAGAGGGGGAGCCCGGACGAACCCAAGCGAGGACCTGATGCTCGGTGGCCGTAGCGTGAGCCTTGCTGTCGGAGTGTTCACCATCATCGGTATACCGCTAGAAGAATGTCCCACGTTGTGTATACATGGCCTGCACGTGATATCATCGAATCACGCTGGGGGTTATTCCTACCTTAGGCTCATCGATACTGACAAAGCATGGCAGATTGCCTCGAGCCGGGGCAGCCGAAGGTGAAAAAAGTAGGGCGGCAGACAAAAGGCATGTAACGAGCACACCGCTGCAGCGAGACGCCGAAACGTACTTGTCCCGCCCACCTTACACTCTCAAGAAAAAAGGGTGCAAAATGGTGTATCGTTACACCCTTTGCCCCATATAATACACCCCAAAATTTCAATTCGATGTACAGTGCCCTACAGTTGAACAGACGGCCCGAAATTTTGCGAGGGGCTTGATAGCCGTGATGGTACAACATTTTAGATAGCTAAAGTACGTATCAAATACCACATAAAGAAAACACCGAGTTTTTACAGTAGGGCCAAGAAAACCTCGATTATTTCTTTTGTAGTCAGTAAAACGTACATTAGCTTATGCCAATGCTTATAGTCAGCGCACAGCAAACGCTGTGCGCTAACTATAGCCTCCCCGCGAAATGCTCTGTGCTACCAGATCCTCGCGCTCCAAATCTGCGAGCGGGCACTCTATGGCTCCGTCATCGAACTGCCAGACTTTGCGAGTACAGAGGAGGCTATGTTCCTACTTGTTCTCGCAAAGGAAAGCAAATCTGGTGGTGCGGAACGTACGCGGGAAAAGTATGCTGCCTAGAACCCGTGTCCGACTGCCGAGTTTGCCGCGTCCTAAAAAATGCTCCCAAGAGTTCCGCCTGATGACACCATAAATGTGCCATGTTTTCACCGGTCGCTGTCCTGGCAGTCTCACACGAAGGCCGGTATATGTAGCACATACCTGTTCTGCTAAGGGTGCTCTCTAGCTTGGCATACCATTAAAACTGGGGCAGCGAGAAGTTGAGACCCAACGCTAACAGTGACACCCGTGATCACTCGTTCTTGCCGGGACTTCTAGCACCAACGGCCAAAATTGTGACAACCAACAACAACAACATACGTCGGCTACAGTGACGTCACTTGTTGCAACTTCTGGGCCACTTTTGATGTATGGATAGGATAGGCCGCTAAACACACTAATCAAAAATGCGCTGCAGTCATCGTAGCAGGACGTACACGATCAGCAGCAAGGCCACCAGAATTAGCGCTGATGTGATGTCAGTGCAAGTCATGTATTAAAATTCGAGCAAAATGTACTATGAGCGCTGCAATTTTTTGGTGACTCCCCCTTACGGTCCCTTTTTTTGGCGTCACGACGATGATTTGCCTTGCCGTGACGTCGCACCATAAGGATATCATTCAGCAGTTGCCTTCTGCAAGGGGAACCTCAGAGTATGTAGGATGATAAGGAAAGTGGGGATTAATGTATGATGTTGATTAAGTGACCCTACCGACCATGAAGGATCAAAGCATATTGATGAGTGTTGTGTAAAAACGAGTTTTAGAGCGGAGCTCTTCGGCGCCCGTTTGCGGCTTGAGTGGCGTCGCCGTCGCCGTCGGTGTAACCGTGCGTTGCATCATGGGGAACATTCTATAATGCAACGCGCAGGACTCACTCTTGACCCGCGCCTTGTATTATGAGACATTTCCCATAGTAACGTCACGAGGGTCACGAGTGACGTCACGAGGTTACCCCGCGTTGCATTATGGAAAAGGTTCCATGATACAACGCGAGGGTCACTCATGACCCGCGTGTTGCAGTGTGGTGGATACAGCGGTTCTGCTGCTGCAGGTCGCTCTCCAGCTTGCCAGTCCACGGAAGCTTCGACACCCACGAGTTGGGACGCCGCGACGACAGCTACACTCACCTTCACTCGTATTTTTTTTCTCCAAATCTTTCACGCCTAACCGGCAGGGTTGCAACACCCGACAGCATGGTACTTCCACGTTTGTGACGCCATTTGTTCACACAACGGGGACCGCTTTTGATGCATGGGCGTAATGGCGGCCCAACGCACCAGTGGGGGCGCGTTCGGTGCGCCGTTGTATCCGACGCGCAAGTTCGTCTGCTCCTTCAGCAGGGATTGCGGTGACATCAGAAAAACGCCCAGCTCTGAATGACTCCGACTTGAGGGATAGTTGGTAGACCTCAAGGTAGCTAGCATCGAGGTCTACCCACAATCCCTGTGTCAGAGACATTCAGAGCTAGACGTTCTGACATCAGTGCAACCCCTGCGCAAGAAGCCGACAAACTTGAGCTCCGCAAATTTAAAGCCTGTGCACTGGAATTTCAACATCATCATGGTGAGATTGGGCGAAGACAGAGATTAGAGACGAGTGCTGCGTCGACGTTCGGTTGGGCCTCGTATCCAATCGACGCATCGAAAGATGCTCGGCATCGGGCTTGGGTCCAATTGCTGAGTTGGCGCCATCTGACTGGAATGACGTTCCATAGACCTGTTTAGAACGAACCCACGTACAACAAATTATTGTCGATATCGAATTCATGGAAAGTTTAAATAAAAATGCATGTAAAAAGTACATTTTATAACGAAAAACATATTGGCTATAAAGAACTTTTTCCCCCCGGGAAGGCTTCCAAAAAACGCGCAAACGGACGACTTCTAGCCCTGTCCCTCCCCCCAACTCCCCTCAAAAAAAAAAAAAAAAAAGTTGGAAAAAGAAAACAAATTTCAAAAGCTCAAGCCGCGAACAAAATTGAGTGAAGAGAAGCAGGTCAGAAGGGGAGAAAGCTAAAAAAAAAAAAAAAACACTCAGCACGCACGCACAGAAAAAAGGTCCTCTCAAAGCGGTAGCCCACAAAGAGAAGCGATTAAAGAAAGAAGATAAGCTAGAAAAACAAACCCTGCTCGAAAGCAAAAAAAAAAAAAAAAAAATCCTGAAAAGATTTTTGCGCGGGGTTACAAGGCAGAAGCGAAGAGATGAGAAGAAAAGAGAAGCTCTCACCTTACAACGAAAGAATCGTGGAAGTCCTTTGTAAATGGTTTCTGCTATATCGAACTATTTGCTCAATCGAACTGATCGGGGCGTTTCCTGCTATTCGTTATAAACGGGTTTGACTGTAGGAGGACATTCGTAGGCTTCGATTATCGCGGGTGGTTTCGAATAGGCTGAGGAGCACGAAATAGCGCTCCAGAGAAACTCCTTACTTGATGCGAGCTTGGCAATATTTGGGGACTAGCATAAGCCTAATCCGGTTTTGCTCTAAGGCGTTAGTTTGTGCCAGATTACTCTTCTTTCGCGTTCATGGCTTCTTTTTTTTTTTAAAGAGGGGGGGGGGGGGGCAGGGGCCGCTTGCCAAATAATTGTTCAGTTGCCAGATGTGAGCAAAAGATGCCATCAGGAATGGAAGAACCAGCAGTGAAGCCCAAATTTGGCACTTGTCTGCCAATTTAGGCGTAAAATGGCCCAATAAACCTCCAAAAAAAATTCGGCTCTCGTTTGCAGACTTAATGCTCATTCACACTGGCACATTTTCTTACGTTAAGTTAAGTTACGTGTAAGTCACCGAAACGCTCGTGTCGAGGATGTCGCGTGTCGTGCTTTCTCCTTGAACTAATAGCCTCGCTTAAAGGGAAGATGGGGCATTTCTACATTTGACAAAAAAGAACGCTTGAATTGCGTTCATTTGGCCTTTAGAATAGCAGATATCATAATTATATTGCAATGCGACGCGCCGGAAAGCCATACGAGCAATTTCAAAATAGGCCTGAAGCCCCGCCTCCCTAGCCTTGGGCAGCCAAAACATCCGTCGATGACGTCACGTACCGCGACTGTCTTTCGCGTTTTGTTTTGCGTTTAACAATACTTGCGCAGCAAATGGTTTGGTTATTCGGGTTCACGGGGTAGAAATACAGTAAAATTCACTTCTAACCCTTTTTTTTTTTTCAAGAAGCTCCGTAGCTTCTTTTTAATATGAAGCACACAGGTACCGGTGACTTCAACGTAATATTTCGTAAAGTAACTTAACGTAAGAAAATGGGGCAGTGTGAATGAGCCTTTAGGCTCAAGGATGCTAGATGACAGCCAGACTACTCGCAGTGGAGCCTAACTTTGGAAATTGTTTGGCAAACTAGGGCCAAGATGCCCATACTCTGGCAAAGAAGGTCAAGTTCGCTCTACCTTGGCTTCCTCGGGCTGTCTAAAACCTTAAATTCCCTGACAAAAAGCAAATTTTGGCACAAAAATTCTGTTGTACTTTGGCGGATTTTCTATTTGACTGTCTTTGCGTAGCCACCTGGGTCGACGGAGGTCTCCTCAGCGGCATCGTGGAAGAGACCGCCGTGCGGGGTGTTCTCTGGTGCCAGACTCCTGTGGGCTACTCTGTCAGCCTCTTTGTTGGTAGGTTCATCACGCCTCTCCAGCAGTTTTGTAATGGCGCGCAGCATGGTGCATAATGTAGTACATATTTTAATGGAAGCGAATTTAAGATTTCTGTTGCGTTGCAGTACTGTTCGGTCTTCAGCTAAATTTAGCGAGTTAGCGTCCTGCTAAATTAACAGGGGACGCCGTGTGGGTGTTTTGGCACGTGGATTTGTGTACCCATACCCCTAATTCATTCTGCATACGAAGGTAGACGGAAAGTGCACTTCATTGTTTTAATAACGACTGAACGCGCTACAGACTTAATCTCTCACTATACTCATACGCAAGCTAGGAATGCAGCACTTCTACTCTCAACCTCCCAGTGTTTAAATGTATGAAGCGGTATTGTGCAATCCACTGTCTTGTTAATTAATCTTTCCATAATGGTTACATTCATCTTTTAATTTTGTATACGGACTCCATCTAAGAGCCCAATCGGCTGACAATATCAATAAATGAATGAATGAATGAACTCTCGCGCTCCTTCTGCCAACATATTTCTCCTCCACAATCCCACATGTCCCAGAACTCGTGTTGGCTAACGCCTTTCCTGTTTGGCCCGCGGTGTGAATCAATGTCGCAGCCTGTACATTCAAGTGGTGTTTATTTGGCACGTTCTTAATTGTATTGGACTATAGTAGATCTCTTCAAATTATCAAAGGCATCAAATGGCTCGGTTTCGATCTCGAGATATTTAGAGCTGCTTGGTATAAAAGTGCGTATAATGCCTAATGTCCGATGTAAATTAACTTTATTTGTCACTTAATTAGTCGGGCGCCATACACAATTCTCTTCGGCGTGAACAGTCACCTTGAGTGACTTAGAGGTGTTTAATGGGGCACTTTAAACATTTCTAAAACTACGCATTTAAAACTAGCTGTACTAACATATTTATTGTATTTTAAAGAAATCTAAGGCAGGCTATTAAAGTAATAGGTTAGTCGTTTACTAAAATTAATACCAAGAAAATATACCTCTGCAGGTTTCTGTTTGTTTTATAAAATTAATACTAAAACCCCTTGAAGCAATATTGGCGGTGGCCATTTCTTGTGTACGGGGGCGTGATTGGATACGAATCCTCACCGGCTGTTGACGCAGCACCAGTATTCCTACAAGCTGGGCCGAGCTGGTCCCAAACACTGACGCTACCCAAGTGTTCAATGCATGCTCGGAGTACGTACCCAAACAAAGACGGACTCGATTAATTGGCGCAACTAGATGGAGCGCACTTTTGAAAATGGTCTATTTTGTGGAAGGGTGCCACAAAAGCGCACGACACGAGAGTGCACGACAGCCGAGCGCCGCGACACCAATGCGCACGACGGGAGAGAGCCGCGACCCTGGAGCGCGTGCCATTAGAGCACGCGTCACGAAAGCGTACGGGCGCGCCTTGATCGGTATTAGAGTCTTCAAACGCATATTTTCTCGGATAGCGCAGTTTTTGCACGTAAGTTAGTTGCCCAAAAATATTGTAAATTGTATGCAACATACAGGACGTGTTTTTTTTTTTTTTGTTTTTTTTTTATCAAAACAATATTTGTTTAAAAAAAGGCTTTGTGCTTTGTGGATATTGTCTTCGATATATGCTGTTCAAGGTTGGTGGACATTGGAGGTACTGATATATGGTAAAATATGTTGGGCAACAAACTAAAAGTTTATTGCTCAATATATTTTACCTATATTGGTAAAATATGTACGTGTCGATTGAGGACAAACAATCGCGTCGAGTCCTGGCCCAATGTTTTCAAAGTCCTTGGGGCTGCATCATCCGGGAACGTACAAGCTAGTGGCCACATTTCAAAGAGAGCAGAGCTTGACAGAGCAGAAGCTGGCGGATGTACTTCGTAAAGAGCCACAAAGGTGCAGCAAGGCCACCTACGTTCGCGTAGCGAAGAATCTGAGCAAGCTAGTTGAAGAGTACGACCAAAGGTGCGTGCTGGACTACCTCTGAGGTTTCGCGCAATCATTCAGTCTTTTATTTTTTATTTCTTAAATATTATGGAACGGCACTTGATAAACAAATATTTCCGACACTCTGTATCTCGCTTCTTCATTTCGAGTTTGAGAAAATTGAATTTTCTAGACTTGCCACAGGTCTGAGTACTCAACCAATAAAAGGGCGTAAAGCGTTCGATCCGGGAAAACATGTATATTTGAAGACTCAAACACCAATCATTCCCAAGGCGCGGACATGCGCTCTCGTGTCGTTGCGCTCTCGTGTCGTTGCGCTCTCGTGTCGTTGCGCTCACGTGTCGTACAGACCTATTTTGTGACACCTGCTCAATGCGCAATTATAAAGTGAACGAGTATTGCGCATTTTTCCTAAAAATTCAACATATAAAATGTTTTCTGGTACACATTTGATAAATTTAGAAGGTTTTACTGATTTTCATTGTCCTATAGTTAAACAAATAAGAAGAAATAAGAAATTTTCTAGGACAAATAGTTTATTTTACAAAAGATGCCTCGGAGATAAATGTTTAAAGAAAAAATTATCTTCCATTTTTTTTTTATATTAGCACTGAGAATGCGATAGAAAGCAATCACCCAGTCCTAACTTTTGTACAAGAAAAAACAATTAGTCTTTGTGCTAAATTTTGTGAAGGCTCCCTCAATATAATATTATTTTTCCCCCGTCCCCAAAGAGTATCCCGCGTGTCGTTGAATTTTTGACAGACTGTTAATATTGTGAACTGACACTGGATTTCTAAAGGAAAATATATGTCGAAAAAAAAAAAAAGAAGAGTTTTCCGCATGCGGTTAAAGATGCGGCTTGCGGGTTAATATTTTCCCAACTTCTTGTTGACTATTCGTTCTAAACGCTCTTTCTGGCAGGACTTAAACACAGTCACAGCGCTGCGCCTGAGTCCCTTCTTGTACTTGTATTTATGCTGTTGTTTTTTTTCGCGCTTTTTTAACTATATGTTTAGTATGCACCACCGACCAACCCACCTCCAAACATTAATGAAATATGTGGTTCGGTCGGTGGCTGTAAAGTGTAATACTCGCGTCTGCTGCTGGCGGTATCAGTTAGCTGCGGGAGTACTAAGGGATAATTTATTTCAGGCTTTGGGGTTAGGGCACACCGACTCAGGGAGCTTGTATTCCCGATAGCGTCACATCGGTTTGGAACTATGCACAGTGGAACTGAAGAAGTATGAGACCAGAGCGCGTGGGGAATGCAGAACGCCGAGTTCTGGTTGGAATGATTGTTCCGTAGACCAGAAGCTAGCTGCCCCTGTCTCCAGTGCACTCGTCGAGCGGGTTTTAATTGGAAATCCAAAGGCCGACGCCGACGTTCCGCGTTCTAACGCGTTCGACGAATGCATTAAAAACAAAGGTTGCGTCTTGTCTCTCCTCCACTTTTCGAGCGCGTTCGAATGCGAAAGCAAAAACGCTGGTCGCCGGCGTTCCGCGTTCGAGCGTGTTCGACAAGTGCAGTCGAGACAATGGCAGCTATTAAATTTCGGTCTACCCACTAATATTTCGACCTAGAGCTCGGCGTTCTGACGTTTACGCGCGCTGTCGACTCCTCCTCTCCCCCATTTTATCGGCTCATAGCTACCTAAGCGAGAAAGAAAAATGGCACGAGCGGGTTCCAGTTGTTCCACCTTTAGCACAAGCTTGCCACCTTCGACAATACTTTGCCGGCCCATGAAGTTCGAGCATGGACACGCAGCAAAAGCGCAACGGAATGCAACGAGCGCCTGGTGGAGGCAGGACACCCGAAAGAAATATCCTGCGCTTCTTCCCACTAGCCCTTTCTATAGTTGGTTGCAAGCTAAGAAAAAAACGGAAATGCCTCTCAGAGGAAAATGTAATCCTGCGCCGAGAAACGCCAGCCAATCGTTTTCATGACGTCACGATTCCGTGGACCAATCGCAATCCTTTTGAAAAAAAAAAAAAAAAAAAAAAAAAAAAGTTCAACATGGTTGTTGGCCTTAGCAACGCGACGCTAGTTTCTCGTGACAATTATTCTGCTTTTTTGCACCGTGTTTTACGTGCCCGAGGTTACGCCACGAAATCTTAATGGTATCGGCTTGCGTTTGCAGCAGTTTTTGCGCAAAAACGTGAGAATCCAGCGACGCTATCGCCAACAAAAATTTCGAAGCGTGCGCGAGGCTTAGCACTGCTGAGAGGTATGTTAGACGGTATGTTAGACAGTATCTTGGACAGAAAATGAATTGGGAAGACGGTACATTGGACATGGCTTTCTTTCTTTACTAAACAGCTATTTCGTTGACAAAAACGTATTCTAACTTATTTAAATGTCCTGAATGAATTAAATAAATATTGTAGTAGTTTAAGACACGTTTCCTGGAGGAAGAAAAAGCAACGTTGCTAGCGAACTACTTTCTCGACGGCGGAGGCACTTCACATGGGCGCAATGCGCTTGTGGGTGGAGCTAAAAGATTGTTCTTAGGTTGCATCCGACTATAGTATGCGTCGTTTTTTCCGCCGCTTGGTGGCGGGTATATGTGAACGGGTCATTTCTTGCTTCCATGGTTTATAAACTGCACTTGTTTCTTTTCTGATCTAAAATACTGAAAAAAACTACTTTCATACATAATTGAAACCGTTCGTGACACTTATATTTTGTATCTAGACTAAAAAAAAAACAGCTTTTAGCGGCTCTGACCAGTAGTAAGTCCAGGACCTAAGAAGTCACAAATCGCGCGCTTTCGGCAACGCGGGTCGCCCTCGTAGGTGCAGGAGGTCTCCGCGTCGTCCGGTTAAAATATGACGCACTGATATTTACTTACTGTCTCCGCGCCCGCTCACTTGCCCGGACCCCAAGAGACGTGGAAACCGCAAAAAAAAAAAAAAAAAAAAAGAAGTTAGACGTTTAAATATGATTGCAGGGCCGCTTTAAGCTTAAACGTACTATAGGAGGTGCTGACCCTTGCCATCTCTGCTCTTGTCTCTGTCCCTTCTCTAAGGCCCTGGTTGTTCGAGCACAGCAACGCACGCGTGTCTAGCTTGAGCGCATCACGGAAAATAACGTGAAAAGATAGCATGACGAAGACAAATAATTATTATTTAAAACGTGCCGCGAAACAGACTGGACGGAAGAAAGGCGACAAACAACCAGTGAACTTACAACTGAAGTTTTAATCATCAAGGCGCAGCCTATATACACGATCAAACAAAGGAAACACACAAAGGAAATAACACCTCACACTCTTAGAAAAATTAAGGGTATCGACAGTTTTCCATAAGTGGAGGAACGGTCTTGTAACCTATGTTCCTTTAAAAAGGGAGGAACTCTCGTCTCTGAAGCAGGGGAGCAAATAGTTCCTACGTCGCCTGCATCTCATTATAGCGGCCCTGGATCGAGCAAATCGATCTTGAGGCTTAACGGGACGAGAGGAGCAGCAAAAAAAAGCGTAACACGAGCTTTCCGCGAGCTGTGTTAATTTTCGAAGCCAGATTTCCCCGAAGGTACAGAAACTTCCGTTTCGAAAGCAGTTACTCAGTCTTCTTGTCGTCAGCACTGCGATGTTAAACAGAAAACAGTAACCCAGTTACTTCGCGCCCTTTACGTCTTACCTTTGGTGTTCCTCAACTCACAATACGTTCGCCAACCGCACATCACGAAGGAATGGAAAACCAATCCGCGAAACCAGAAGCCGTTCTCAAAAGAACGAACTTGAAGCCGCTCTTGAGCGCGTAGCGCGAAAGGTTAAATCGATGGCAGAGTCAAGCAGAGTAACTGCAACTAGCTAGGCTAGGTGGCGCTAGGTACCGCCCAATTCATGCTCTACACAAAATATTTTTATTTCCTCAGGTCACCATTACGCATCGGGATCTTCGGGAACCTCGATCTGCGACCTCTGCTATAACACATGTAGACACATTCCGCATACTGCAAGCATCAGGTGAACATACATTTATTATAATGGCCGTTTTGAACGTACGGAATATCTCGGTGACTCCCTAATGAACAAAAAATATTCCCAGCATGCTCATTTTTTTCCAGCAATGTCTTATCTCTGAGAGTATATCGAATGGCTCAGGGGAAGGATCTCTTATTAAAAAGTAAACGCTCAATTATTTGAAAGCCGATAAATCAAGCCACTCCAATGCGGTTCGAAGCCATGAGTTTGGTTCCCCGTAAAAGACGTCGTTCGTAGCCTGTATTTTTTTTTTTTTAGCGTTTGTTTTTCTATTTGGCTGCAATTGCCGTCTTGAATTAATCTCTGTAGAGCGGACATTCACTCAGCGGGAAGTGATGCTTCACGGGCAGAGAAAGCGTTTTTCGATCAACCTGGATGCAGTCAAAGCCGCGACTTGCGGCAGGTGTTAAGTGTATGTAGCGACGCCGTGGCGAGCTCGAAAACGTCTAGCGCTCATCCCAGCGCGCCACTTAAAGGGCAGTTTTTGGAGGAACCGTAGTATATTTAAACAGGACAATAAAGGGTACCTTTTTTTTCGATTTTACGTATTATTTCTTTTTAATGCTAAAATTCCACACTGTAAATATACGTACTCTCCGTCACGATTTTGTACTGTTGTCCTTGCCCCATAGCGCAATCGCTCTCGGGGACGAGACAGTTCCGAGTTACATTGGCCACTGTACGATAGGAGCTCACTGTTCAGACCAGCGTTCCAACATGACTATCCGCAAGTCGATCGATTGCACGTGCCTAATCCCTCAAGTGATCTTAAACTTTTCAATGTAAAGCGGAATGTCAGCCTGCGACACCCCGCCCCCTTCGATCACGGCCCGACCAGCGGCATTAATGCCCGACAGTTTACGTCATCTCATCCAGTTGTTACACCACTGATACGCGAACATACGGTCGCATCGGCGATAATTCCAGTCTTCTGTTCACAACTCACAACACTGCCATCACGATGTTGCTGCTATATTGCTGACACGCAGAAATACAGAACCACGTTGAACGCCAGTTGGCACTCGGCATCGGAAAACAGATCCGAACTCAGTGCAGAAGGCACCCAGGCAGCCGGCAGCAAAAACCTGCATGTCGTGGACGCAGTTCCTGCGATTTTCATAACGTCGAAAACGTCAACGCAGTTCCGCGTGGTTCCGCTACTGTAGGTCGGCGTGGGTCCCGCAATCCAAGAAGGCCCATCTTACCCAGTATCCATTTCTAGCGGCTTCGTTTGCTCGTTTGATAAAATTAGTGATAAAAACGTCAATGGAACCGAAATGTTCTGCACGTTTGGACTAGACGACGAAATTACATGCGGCCTTCCTTGCCGTTGAAGCTCTATCAACTCAACAACATAATTAACAACGTGCGCGACGTGCTCGGAAAACGAACCCGAAAGAAGGTGAGTCGAGAGCGGGCAAGCTTTCCCCTGTCTGCCTGAAGAAGGAAAAAAACGTTTCGTTCCTCCCTGTTTCTCGTATCCGCTTGGGGGCGCGTTAGCAGAAGGGAGGAGGACGGGACGTTGCTACCTTTTTCCTCCATTTTTCTTAGAGTGCACTGAAACCCGCACAATCATCGGCCATGCTGTCGTCCTGGAAAAAAAAAATCAAATTCTTTAGCCGACAAAGGAACTCACGGAGCGCCACTTCTGTGTTGAGGTCAGGTCAGTCTATCCCGTGTGTTTCGCTGTATGTTTTGAATTATCATGCCTTAAAAACGTGCCCAAGCTTCACTTCTGAACAAAGAATAACACGACCAAGATATTGGTTTTGTCAAATTTTTTTTTTTCGCCCGCGGTAGTTTTTACGGCATTTTCCGCAATGTATTTATAGTGGCTAGCAAAAGCTGTCGATCTCTTTCAGTTGGAGCGCTCTTCTCGGGCCCTATGTGGCGTGCCGGCCACGTGACCCTCTTGGACCCCCTGGAGCAGGCCATCGGGAGCCGCATGACGGCGGTGCTATTCATTCCGGCCCTGGCCGGAGAACTCTTCTGGTGCGGCGCCATCTTGAACGCGTTAGGTGGGCTTTGTCTCTCTACGGTGCACATCAGGCGGGTGAACTCAATAGCTTCTAGATGGCATGGTGATAGATTTTCCAAGTCACATACCGAAGGCCAGTGCCAGTGCGAGGCACAGGCATCGGTTCGCGTCAGCGCCTGGCCGCAACTGATGTTCCGCCAACACGATCCCCTATCCTGATTTTTACCCAGCACTCGTGTGCAATCTGGGCCCCGCTCTAAGATTCAGAACCACGGCTTTATTGAGGAGGTATTGGTGAACTACCAGGATTCTGCCAGGAGTGTGACTCATTCCGCGTCGGTGAGACTGGTCGAAAATGGAACAGCCCCTCCTCAAAGTAAACAAGAGGGACGTACAAAGGGACACATATTCCACGAGGTCAAAAACTGAACTAGTTGATCACTGCTGGAAAACGGGTCAAAGCTTTGCTTTTCAGAGCACAGTGACCTTGGCGTGAGAACAAAGGTGGGGCCCCCGAAAGTGTTTATATTTCAGGTGCATTCGTAATGACGCATCCTCCAGCCATGCCAACCGAGGCCCCATTCATGGATGTCCTTGAATAGCTTTCGGGTCTCTGTACTATGTTCATTCGTGTCCCTGAGCACGCAGCGATGATGTCTGGTGCGTGGGAGACGAAACGTCCGATTAAATTGTTGACGTTGGGAAGTCAAGTCGGTGTAGTGTTCTTTATAATTAAAAATAACAATGCAAGCTCGTACTCATCCCATTCATAAACCAACGTAATCACACTTGACCCTGTGACGCTGTGCTGATTTCCGGCGGTAATAAAAGAATAAATACGTTATAGTGAGCGTTTGACCAATCGCAAATCGCGACCCCAGTGAGGCTTTTCGTCGTAAATGCGGTTAATAGTCACTGAGAGTCTAAGAAATGCAGAGCCTGGCGACTCCCTATCGCATGAATACTGTCAAGTCAAGTCGCGCCATCAGACGATAAGAACGCCGAAAAACGACCCGAAAATCGTGAACATACTGGGCTACGCCCTGCGTGCTATCAGAGATAAAAAATAAAAGTCGTTTACAATTCCCTGTAATGCCGAATTAGAGCGCAGCTCTTGAGCAGGAGGGGAGGGTATGTGCGTGTACTTTCACGAGGGTGACTCCACTCGTGACCCTCGTGACGTAACACGTCGCCCTCGTGACGTCACATGTCACCCTCGTGACATCACATGTAACCCTTGTGACGTCACTGGTGACCCTCGTGACGTCTCTAGTGGCTCTCGTGACGTCACACATGACCCTTGTGATATCACATGTGGCCCTTGTGACGTCACTGGTGACTATCGTAATGTCATTTATTGCCTCGAGATGTCACTGGTGACCTTCGTAATGTCACACGTCACCATCATGACGTCACTGGTGACCCTCGTGACGTCACTTGTGACGTTGATCGTAGTCCTTGTGACCCTCGTGACGTCACTGGTGACCTTCGTGACGCCACTGGTGACCCTCGTGACGTCACTCGTGACCCTCGTGACGTCACTGGTGACCTTCGTGATGTCACTGATGACCCTCGTGACATTGTTCGTGGGCGCGGTTACGCCGACGCCGCTCAACCCGCAAACAGGCGCCTAAGAGCCACGCTCTAAATAGACGGCAGGCTTCTGTTCCAGGATGCAAGCTTCGTCCTATATTTTTTCCGTCTATCCCCCCGGAATAACCGCTCATTCACACAGGAAACGGATCCGCGTTCCAGAGGCGGTTGCGAACGCGGTTGTATGAAGATCCAGTTCAATCGCACGCGCAGTTGATGTCATCGGGTGCACGTACAATTGTACTTTATCTTTATAGAACCGCGTTCGCAACCGCTTTGTGAACGCGGATCCGCCTCCAGTGTGAATGAGCGGTAAGAGCGCTCCGTCGCGCTTTTTAACGTGCCAACCGAAATCAATTGCAGGCGCCACGGTGAGCGTAATCACGGGCCTTGGCTACGTGACCTGCGTGAGCGTAGCGGCATCGGTGGTGGCGCTGTACACCTGCGTAGGAGGCCTCTACTCGATCACGTACACCGACGTCCTCCAACTGCTCATCATGTCTTTTGGACTGGTAAGAACGACTCTTGAAAGTCACATATTAGAAGCAGCGGCGTTGTTAAAGACGTTATCGTTTCTGAGCGCAGCTCTTGGGCGCCCGGTTCCGGTTTGAGCGGCGTCGCCGTCGGCGTCGGCGTGGGCGTAACCGCTAGGTGCGTTATGGGACGTTGCCGAAACGTCACCGTGACCTACACCGAAACATCACGTGACGTCTCGGCACCACGCCGAAACGTCGCGTGAGGACGCGCGTTATGCGCATGAAGGGAGGAGAAGGGAAGGAAGAGAGGGTATGGAGGAGGGAGGAGGGACACACCCTCCCCTCAGTACTTTCCCCTTCTCCTCAAGAGCTGCGCTCTAAATCGTCGTTACAAAAATTAAAAACATATTTCATACATTTTTTTTTGTGTGTAACGCGTTATATTTATTTTGTTTAGATTAATTCCGACCTTAGCAGATGCTACGATTTGATCTGGCGAATCAAAAAGTGCCAAATCTGCATTGTCACAATGCGTGTTGTCTTTGTGGGTTTGCCGGGACCGACTAAACAAAACACGAACAAAAAAAAAGAAAAAGAGCGGGATCGCATTGCATTCAGTATGCGTGATCGGTTGAGTCGATGAATCACAAGGCACAAAACCGATAAGCGCCATGATGATGCACTTTTGACGCTTCACGATCGGCTCAATACAATCGTCGCGTCAACTGCGGTTGGACTTGAATTGAAATGGTCTATAACGCACTCCCTAAGATTTGACACGATTAACGAGTAAAATAAATTCGGTGCCATTTTACGCTGTTTTCCACCAAATTACATCACTCGTTTCTCCTTAGATCTAAACAACATTAGTCACGTTGTTGGTCACTTTGAGAGGTCGAACGCGCCATCGGGACATCGCTGTATACCTTAAATTTGAAAAACTAAGGGTAACGATAATATGAAATCGATCTTTAAACGCTTAATTGCCGTCGAAGCTCGTAACCGCGGCTTGTGGCTGCGAATTATTAAAATCCAAAGTAAAAAAAAAGTAACGTTCGTTAGATTTTGCAATTTACTGTAGCATTAGGTTCGCTTTTGGTAGAACCGTATCGAATCTTATTAACGTATTAAACGTTACCAACTAGCGAGTGATTCTATTTAGTTATTTATTTTCCGTAACGGACAAAATAGTCGTAAGAAAATTCGAGTCTGCGGATAGCGGCAAGCGTCATCGCGAATATTGGGCTTTTCCGAGAAATGCTCGAGGCATGCGCAAACTCACCGAGGGCAACTTGGAGGTAGCGCTAGCAAACATCTTAGTTATTTGTATGAAAAACACCACAGTGTTTTGGTGCTATTAACGTAGCTTTAGAATAGGCTTTGTACCCTACGAGCGGCATGATACGTTTCTAGATGTAACCCAGGGACAAACAATAAAGGCCTACGGCTTTTTCCACGTCTCATACGCAGAGATTTCTCGAATTCGAAAAACTATGGGAAGGGAGGGATTTTCAGGTCACGTGATCAGCTGAGGTACAAGGAAAGCAGAGTAAACTCATTGAGCCCGCGAGACAGGGCGTACGCAAAACTCTTCTCGGAAAGGTACCTACTGCGACGACGATGATAGATCCTCTATTTGTTTCGAACTTGTTTGTCCCGATGGAGCGGGACTGGCGATTGCCACCAGTGAGCAGATCTTTATCCCTCCCCTCCATAGCGTTTTCGTGTGGAAAGGTCCATTCGCCGCCTAGAATGCGTCTCCCACTTGTGTGTTTCAAGCGCTCCCGATGCATCGAACGTGGCCTCCGAGTAGCAATAAATGACGTCACAAATGTGTATTGCTGTCAGATGTCGCGATCCTGGTGGTAGGAAACAGAAGTTCCAGAAAAAAAACACGCGATATCACGGATGTCGTTGTCGTCGCAGTGCCCCAACCCTTGGCTGATGATGCTTCGGTGGAGAGTCAAGCTAAAGAGCAACATTCACCAAAGCAGGTGTCTGTCACATCTACCACCGCTGCTTTGGCACCGCCAAGATTGCGGTCGCGGACAGTATGACACTTCTGTGACTCCATCAGACGAAAATCGAGGGACTACTTTTTGGACGCGGCCATCACACTAGACAGAGACGGTTTCTAGGCTTCGTGCCTAGAAACCGATCTTATTTTTAAAATTTTATAACTTATGAAATACAATATTTAAGGTGCGATTGTTTAAAATTACTTAGAATACATTAAACCGTCGTTTCGGAGAGTGAAGAGTCATTATTTATATCAATCTCTCAAGTGCTTGGATAAGTAAAAATGTGTGAATAGGTTATGTGGGGCGTCCATTTTAATGTTTTAAACAAAACATATTTTCTGAAAGAACAGAATAAACTTAGCCTAGAGGTGCAAGTGAATTTTTTCAAAACTTTTTAAATAATTTTAATCGCAAATATACAATAAAACCGAAACTAACCTTAAAATTTAACGATCCGCCATCTTGTTGGGACGTCAGATGTATAAACATCAGCACGTGGGCACCATGAGCCTCTTTCGCCCAGTGTCAGAGGCGGTTACAGGGCCGTCGCCGTCGTCCGTGAGAAACAATGCACTACTATTTTTCAAGATTCTCGGAGTCAACCAATGACCAGCAAATTATACGTTTTTCAGCACGAGATGCTAGATGAAAAACCGTTCGCATTTGGTCCACCGGAACAGCGTGCCAGGGAGCCAGCCGTGGCGGCTGTACTCGCGATCCGCCGATATGTGGACCCACATGCCGCTTCAGAAGCAGAAGGGTATGGAAGATTTTGTTTGCTACCACGGTAAAAACAGTTTTCTAGCACGATGGAACGCTAGGAGCCAGCGTTCGTGTGGAACTGCTCGGACTCACTTCCGTCGCTGACACTTCTCGGTCGGAAACTGAGAAGTCATTGGGAGCATCGTCTAAGAGCATCGTCTGCTCTTTGAATACAATATTTACCGCCACGAGCGCCCCTGCTCGTTGTTGCCAGTGGAGCGGGAGCCAGCGATTCCGGGGTGTAGGCGTAAAGTTCAAGATTGTTTTTCGTCGAAAGGGAATTCTTATTTTAATTACCAATCTTGTTGACAAACTCAGCAACCCACGGTGGGCCCGCGAAGACAAGCGTTGCAAAGACCACTCCTAGGCCTAATGCACTTGTACATACACTGGTCGTGATTTTCTGTAAATAAACGATGTTTTATGTACAATATTTACATTCTTGTTTGCGTTCCACGCTGCCAGAGCCTTCAACCTCATTTCTTCTTCATCATCTCTCTTACCGCGTCTCCTTCGGCTATACAATGACTTCTTCCAAGACAAAAGCACCACCCAACTCCGCTCACTCCTAAGCTTGGACACCTACAAAGCCTTTGATAACTTCTCGCATGACTACATACTCAGTACCCTCAGAGAAACGCAGTGCGGCCCTCGAATTTAAAACTACATCCGCAACTTTCTATCGAACTGCACGGAAGCCTTTAAAATTCCTGGATACATCTACACACCTTTTCCGTTTCACCAAGGAGTACCACAAGGCTCCATCCTTTCTCCCACCCTTTTCAATCTTGCCATGACCAAACTTCCCGCACAACTCGACGCCATCCCCCACCTCAAATTGTCCATCTACGCCGATGACGTTACCTTATGGACCAACACCGGCTCCCCAGGCCAGTAGGAAGAAACACTGCAACACGCCTGCGACACAGTCGCACGGTATGCCATTAGTATAGGTATGGCCATTCCTCCATCTAAACTCCTCGTCATCTCCAAATGCAAAACCAATCCCGACAGGCCGCTGATCACCGTCCACCTCGACGGCACTCCCATATCCCAACGCCCGCACATGAAGCTTTTAGGCCTCACCATCCAAAACAAAGTGCAAACGATGTCACCATTCAGACCCTCTCCAAACAGATAAATCAAATCAGACACATCCTCGGCCGTGTTTCTTGCCGCCACAAAGGCCTCAAAGACAGCGACATGAGAAGAGCCATCGAAGCTCTCATCTACTCTCTCGTACTCTACCATATCCCCTACACCCCGGTGACTAACCGTCAACTAAACACCTCCAGACACAGCTCCGCAAACACACCCGCCTTGCTCTTGGCGTTCAACAGTACGCTCCCCTTGGGCACCTACAACAGATGGACCCCTTCAACACACTCGAGGAGCGAGTCGACTTGCACCGACTGGGTCAACAGCAACAGCTAACCACGCCCCTGCACGGTTTGTACATTCTCCACTCCCTCGGTTACAACACCATGCACCTCCCTCCCATCGAAACAAACACCGACCTGGGATACCGTGCCCCAAATAACCACGCTCCCCATACCCAAACACATGAATCCCGACAGTAAATCGGAACGCCGCAAGCACAGAGCCAAACTCATATCTCCAAAACTCGCCACACTTCAGGCACAGCGGTGCCTCATCTACTACACAGACGCCAGCTACGACCGTAGCATAAACTTCGGCCGCACCTCAATTCACTGTCCCCAGACCAAACAACGCTCAGGCGAACACACCGAATCGCCTTCGGCAGACCTCTTGAAGAGTCAGGCGGTGTGCTCCGCCATTCACCATGGCGTCGCCAAACCCCACGAGGGACACACCTCCATCACTGTTCTGACAGATTCCCAAAAGGCAGTCAGCATATTTCAGTACAACCACCTCCCTAACTACATATTGCGCGAGCTTCGAGCCGCCCACAACCCCCCCCCCCCCCCCCCCCCTTGGCTTCTACATCTACTGGATCCCTAGCTACGCTCTAATCCCAGGCAATGAACGAGCACGTTCACTTTCTGGAGTGACTTCCACTCCGGTACCTGCGATCTACTGGCCTACGTCATATGAACCCCAAGTCCAGTGCAATGAAACATATCAACAGCGCTCTGACACACTCCGCAACTCCGCGAATCGAGATTCGCCCTCGTACCCCCGCCTCCCACACCCTCCCGACAACAGGCCAGCACTCTACGCCGAGCACAGACCCACACGCTATCCTCCCCACACTATACTCATCTCTTCCAAGGTGATCAGGGCACAGCTAAGTGTCCCTTCTGCAGTGCCTACCCAAACAACACGCACACCTACTGGCAATGCCTCCCATGCACAACCATCCATCCTCTCTACACTTTCCAAGCTCCCTCCCGGGCTCCGGCCTACGATAAGGAAAGAGTGGCTCTCTCCCACAAATCACCAACACGTACCCGCCATCTTCGACGCCCTTCTTCACCACATCACAACGATCGAGGAGAAGCTGAGGGCCATCGAAAGACGCCACCAATTTCCCATGATCCACCTGTCCTCGCCCTTCTGAATGGCGTCCTCCTAGACACCACTTTGACACCCTGAACTGATGGTCAATAAAGATGTTTTCTCTCTCTCTCTCTTACTACTCAACTTCCTTCTTTTTTTTCAACGCGTCGAAGGAATTTCAACAATCTCGTGCTACACATAAACGTAGAGATGAAATATTTAAAAAAAACTATCGACTTTTTTCTTATATTTCATGTGTATATTGAGTTGTTGCTTTTCAATCTTTGTCAAAATCATTGTTAACTTTTGTTAATTTCGCTGGCTGTAACTTCTATATCTCCTTTATTTTTTTTCGCTTCCGTTTCTCGCTGTTGACTTCGACGACAGATTAGAGATCAACGTCCTCTTGTTGCAGCTTTTCATAAACTCTGTCGTGAGGCGTGGCCGCTTGACCGCACTTAGGGTAAAACGCTTTCGTCACTCGTTCAGTATCATGGCTAAGCATCTCATTATATTCATCATGGAACAGCGCGAATTTTACGAGGACAGAGACAGGAAGTGGACAGGACCATGCTCGTCCTGTTCTGTTTCTTCCTCTGTCATTGTAAAATTCGCGCTGTTCCATCATAAATATATACCAACACGCCCAGTTAACCTGTTTGCCAAGTCTGTTGTATTCAAATTTAAATTCGGACATTTTGTTTTTGTCGATAAAGTCTTGTGGTTCAAGTAAAGCTCCAAGGAAGGGCATTCCTTTGGTTTACGATGATTGTGCGCAATACAGTGATATGATTGGCCACAGCCATTTTCGAGCACCTTTAGGAGCAGCCAAAACAGCTTTTTGGAGCAGAAAATGTGGCCTCTGGAGCAACCCAGACTGTGTTTTGGAGCAGCAAAGGTGGATTTTGGAGCAATTAAAACAGTGTTTTGGAGCAGGAAAAGTGGCTTTTGGAGCAGCCAAGGCAGTGTTTCGGAGCTTCAAATGTGCCTTTTGGAGCAGGTATTCTCATAAATAAAACAATAGTCGTTTTAAGCGCTGTACAAACAAAGGGCACTTTGTGCTGTGTTATGTTCTGATGTGACGTGTTGTGATGTAACTTGCTACTTGTGTTTTTACTGCTGAGACATCTCACAAGTATACAGTGTTGTATGCATTGCCGAGCAATTCTAAAAAAAAAAGAAAACGATTTCCACCGTTTTACTGGCTACCGACGTGCCAGATTTTCGTCAAAAGTAAGCAAACGTGAAACAGTGGATTCCAAGCGTCCCGGCTGGTGCCTCTGTCGTGCTATCATGTTTGCATTCATGTAAGGGCAACTTCGGCAGATTTGCAGTTACGCGTGCTTCGTCGAGCGAGCGGGACAACAACTGTTCGATCGAGACCGAAACCGTGCCACTCGGCTCTGTTGCCAACTAATCCCCAAAATTGTATGCAAAATGTAACTGTCAAGCATATGACAAAAAACGGTCCAGCGGCGTGTGCTTGCGAGGCCGCCAAAGAAGGTACAAGATAAACACACACCAAAAAAAAAAAAAAAAAAACTATTTAAGCGCATTGATGCAGGACATTGCGAGCCAGAGTCGAAAAGTTCTTGGAGCGCTTTGTGGGACAAATGAACTCGAGACTAACACGCGCGCTGTGGGGATTCAGCGTGCGGAAATTGCCTTATTTGCTTAAGCTTACTTCTCTTCACCAACTTTCTTTCGCGGCAGATTGTTCATGTGCAAGGGTTCACCTCGAAAGAAAGCCCACCGTGGGAAACCTAGGTAATCCATACTTCGACACCGCAGTTTTTGAGTTAAAGTGGGATGATTTAAACAAGAACAGAAATGTTGAGAAACATGCTGCGGTACTTAGTTTCAATTTAGAAAGCGCTATATCTATAGCGACGTGGGCACGGTAACACCCGACGTCGAGCGACTATGGTGACTAGAAGGCAGGGACCAAACATAATTTTCCCACGGCCGTTGCTTTCAGAGGCGAGTGCTTCAGCTCACAAAGTAATTCTGCCGCTCAAAGACGTGGTTTCGTTTCATTGCATGAGGGCATGGCTGGTATCCAACACGCTAGCGTCGGAGCGTCCTCACACACCCGCGTCTATCGTTAAAAATATTTTAACAAAAGACGTTGGACAAAACCGACCAGGCGACGAGAGCGCGAAACGCGAGATGGCTGGAAATCCATGCAAGACCGGGTAGGCAATTGATGCATGGGGCTTTTTGTGGGGCGGCCACTTGCGCCACATAACACATGCAGGCTCAAGTATGGTCCTCAGTTTAGCTTCGGTTTCCAAAGGCAACCGAAATTGTTTTTTTTTTTTTTTGTGCAGGCTTGGCGCAGATTGCCTATATTTCGGCAAAATGTAGCAGGATGGAGCAGGGTTAGCCCCTTAGCGCAGTTTGGCGCGATTGGCGCAGCAATCACATCACTAGCAATATGAGCGATTTCTGTGTTTTCGTTGTCGTGTTTCGATGTGGTCGCTTTACATTCTAATTTGTTCATGGCAAACACAGCGTTGCCATCTAAAGCAGGTGTGTTCTCGTTCTTTGAAGCCATGCTGATTTACATCGTTTCGCTCTCGATATTTCTGTTTGTGTTTTCTATGTCATATGTCCTTGTTGGTTTGGGTGATTCTCGAATACGATTCATTAGTTCTTTTCTTGCATCCTTACTTTACTTGGTGCAAGAGATTCAGTCTGATGAGATGGATTGTGATGGTCGCTGTACACGAGGCTTCGTGTATATTCTTCGTCGATGTCCTTGTCTGGAACTAGAGGTTCTATATCTGTGTCTAAAGTGGGCAGCCGAATCTTTATATACTACCTAAATGCTCTGTCATTTAATTCAGTTTCGTGATTTACGTTTGATCCAAAAATGTTGAATCCATGTCACTCAAAATGTCCGTTGCTTTGTTTCTGGGCATAGTCTTGTTTTGACGTTCTATTCATTGTGAAATGTAAATCTCCAGTTGTGTAAAAGATTTTCTCAGTGCTAAGTGAAACGCTGCGTTAACGTTCTTTGTCGTTGATTGATGTTTATCGAGAGATGTAAGTCGTTCAAGAAGTTCTTGCCTTTTGAAAACTAGTAAGCTTCCTTTAGGTTGCTCGATGAGCCTCGGCTCGTCAGTCCGATAATCAAAACATTGTCAACTGAGTTTATCCCTGGTTTCGGCTCCAAGATGTGCAACGCTAGACTGAGGCGCCTGGTTGTGCTTTTGTATAAATAAACTATGTTTTTTATACAGCATTTACGTCATATGTACGTTCCACGCTCCCGGACCCTTGATCCTAACTTCTTCTTCCTCATCTCTTTTATTACTCAACTTCCATTTCTTTTTCAACATAGGAAAGGAAATTTCAGCATATAATATGCTAATCACCATCACTTTTGCATACTATATCACCACATAATCACCATCATTAGACCCGGCACCACGGGCCTCTGTGGTACGTGCTGTTGCCTTTCTGTGGTGCCGTGGCTCTCCTGAGCCAATAAAGATAAATATTATTATTTGGTGCACTATGAAAGTTTTTTTTTTAAATTTGATTACCATCAACATTTTCGCCGCTTTCCAGTGGGTCACCCTTCCATTTGCCCTGAGCAACGATCACGTGAAGCCCCTGGGCAGCCTGTCGCCTGACCAGTGGCTCGGAACCATGGCTCCATGGCAAGTCCCCAGCTACGTGGACAGCTTCCTCATGATTGTCTTCGGGGGCGTGCCTTGGCAGGTAAATTCTCTTTCGACAAGATCACACCCTACTAAAGAACAGAACGGTTTGAAATTCAAACCGGTTCATACCGTTGCCCGTTCAACAATACAGGTAGCAGGTTCGAGCCTTCGTTTAGCACTATACCCAAACTGCCCACCGGTTTGTTCAAACTGTTATTCGGCCATATATAGTCAAACTGTTCATAGGTTTGAGTGTAGCAATATGCGGACTTGTTCAAACCGCATATGGATGTGGCAGGCCAGTTTAAACCTGCTCACATGTTTGATAAAACTGCTATCATCCCGGTCACACTGTTTACAGGCTTGAACGTAGCGGTATGAGGACCTGTTCACACAGCATAGCGTCGTGGCGGATTGGTTTGAAGGGGAGAGAGCGCGAACCTGCTTTCAGGGAGTTTTGCGAGCGCTATCCCATGGGAACCGGTAGAGGAGCCGCTGGACTTTCAATGTCGGCTGGCTCTGACCTTGGGGGAGCTGAGGAATTTTTCGGCAAGAGAAAAGAAATGCAGTGGCTATGGAGAGGAAGCAGAGATTGGACGTGGGTGGTCGAAGGTGGACGTTCGGCAGCCGGACGAGGAGCACCCGGGAAATAAAGGGAAGAAAACCAACCTGGACGCTGCGGAAGCTAAGAAACATAAGCGGAACTGCGAGTGTTCGTAGGCCGCATCCCGGAGGTAAGCAACGTGGACCCAAAACAAGCTACAAAACAGCAGTGGGGCTCTGAGTGTTCCTCGACCGTGTACTGGAGATAACCGAGCTGGACGCAGCACAAGCAAACTTCTGCCTTTTTTAAGTACTCTTCTCAATATACTGTATTTCAAATACTTTTTAGTGCATTTTCGGTAGTTCGCACACTCATTTTGTCCAGAGTATTTGCTACTCTATCTTAATTACATTTTTCATTATATTGTAGTCAGTATCTCAAATACTTTTTTCAACCTTCGGAAATATTTGTCACCAGAACAATCTACGGAACTACATAGGGATCGTCGCAATCCAGGGCGACGCTATACCGATTTCAGACTTGGAGGCAAGGGGCCAAAAACAGGACAGGAAGCAAGCACGAGCAAAACGCAGTCAACGAATGCCAACAAGAGACCAAATGAATAGCCATAAGTGCGACCACCTTTATGTGTTTTCATGACTAATTTTTTTTCAATATAAAGTTGTTTTTAATGGCAAATTAAGCTTCTAGCTAGAAAAAAGCTGGTGACATCATTCGGATTTGACATCTTTTGTCTGATGCTAGAGGGGTTCCATCAGCGGAAGGTGGTGACACCAACGCTCGGTACGGTCACAATAGGACCATATCAGGAAATCGCCGGTCAGGGTGTTCTGGTATGAAAATACGCCAAGCACATTTTATACCAAATCACCAACAGATACCACGGCATGGAAACAACTAATCTACTCGGACTGGTACAGGCTTTCATCATAAATATAATAGTCTACGCTACCCCATTCCTGCAACTAAAAAGTGATGAACGTACCAAAATTAACCTGATGATCAAGAGAGCCTACAAGCGACACCGCAGGAGAAACTTTTGAGGCTCTCAGCATACACAATACTCTTGACGAGCTCAGAGGAGCTAAAAGAATTTCCCAACTGGAGAAACTTTCGGAGACTCAAGTGGACAGTGCATTCTCCAATCACTCGGGATTGCATACAACACCCAATTGGGACAAAAGCAGGGCATTCCCACAGAGCTCAGAAAGCTCAGAGAACACCCGCCTTCTGCACAACCGAGGGCGCGGACAGGAAAGAATCAGAGCCATACACATACGCTTCGCATATCCTAAAGACGTGGCCCATGTAGACGCGGCCGAGTATAATAATCTAGACACCATAGCAGTGGCCGTACTTGATCAACAAAATCAAACAAACGCTGCAAACTCAGTCATTACAACCTCGCCGGAGGTCGGGGAGGTGCTCGCAATTGCCTTGGCGTATTCCTCATCCACGGCCAATTTCATTCAGCGTCTGAAATAGAGCCATAGGAAATTTCGCGAAAGGGCGCATTACGCCCGAAGCCCTAAAACGTTTGGCGAAGGTACCCAAAACCCGGCGCAGATGGACACAACTCGTTTGGGCAGCGGCGCACTCCGGTTTCCAAGAAACAAAGGTCCTCAGTGCGACCCGAGAACTCGCCATCCGCGGCCGCACGATACCCTCTCATCATGAGCAGCTCAAGACTCTTCGTCGTTCAGGTAAGGACCGTATGGTGTCCTACAAGGAAATCTTACAATACTACCAACATGGCATTAGGCATTACCCCGCCTCTCATTAAAGCTTTAGATAAAGCGCAATCAGTTACCGGGCGCCTTTTACAAACGCACACTTTCCCAAACCCAGTGACCTGTATCCTGGGCTATGTACAGCCGATTGAAAGTTATGCGCAGGTAGGGTCGATCTTCAACCCATCATGTGGACGTGCCCCCTGATAAGTACTCAAAAACGCATCCCGCCAAAACCTCCACTTCCCATCACCACTCCAGACCAGTGGGAGGCTGCACTGCTTAACTCAGACCCGGATATCCAACTCCGGGTCGTCCAGATGGCCGAAGTCGCCGCCAAAACAAAGGGCCTGGCCGCCGCCTGAGGAAGAAGAGGACGGCAGGCCCACCTCCCTAACCCCCATCTCGGACAACACTGAGTTCACTACTACTACTACTACTGCTATAATTGATAAAAATAATTCAATTTGCGAACATGGCGGGATTGCAGCCACCGGAATCCCCTCATGATATTTATTATATCTGGGAATACCGATGCGTAGTGGAACGCACGCAAAATCAACTGTGGTCCACTCGCAGCCTCACACTTGTTGTTCTTACATCACTGATTCGCTCACTGCTGGAAACCACGCTACGAGCACCCAAACATCTGGGCGAGTTTTCTCAAAGCGAGGGTAAACCTATTTTGGTAAACCACGCTGCATAGGAAGGAAAAAGTACCTAGGTACTGTAGTAAACGGCTGGATATAGAACAACTAATCATTTTTGATTGGGCAGTAGTATGCGCTGTCTATCGGCGAAACAAGCCGGTCATTTTGTTTATCCTCTTTCCCGCTGGTTGCTTTCTATCTAGTAAGGTATTTTAAGTCAAAATATAGTAATGTTGTACTTGAAGACCAATTTATTTGCTTCAGGTGGTACGAAAAAATGTTAGCTACTACGCTAGAGTTTGTCGACAAATATTCGAAAATGTAAGAAACATTTCCTTCAATATGTTTCGCCATAAACAACGCATAACTTTCCCGTGTGCCTTCCAGTCTAGCAACGCCGGTGCTGTAGTCTCGTTTTTGTTCCTTGCGACGCACGTTTCTGCGATTCCTGCTGATCTCAACAGGGGGGCTATGTTGCGCTTTTTGCACTCCCAGGAGACTAGGGAGAAGGAAGTGACGTCAACAACGCAGCAAATGCAGATTGGATGTTGGTTTTGTTTTCTTCTGTCAACATCCAATCTGCGTTTGCTCTAGTCGTTGACGTCACTTCCTTCTTCCAAGTCTCCTGGGAGTGCAAAAAGCGCAACATAGCACCCCTGTTTGCCCTCTCTTCCGTTTGCCCAACCGATCCACCGGTGACGTGAAGCTAAGCTTCTCGTCACCGTTGAATTGCTGGCCACGGGGGTATGTAGAAACCTCGTTGCTGTCGGCATACTGTCGGCGCACTGCGAACAAAAAAACTGTACAATGTCCCAGCTGTTCACCCGGAACGAAGACTTCATCGAGGATAACCCCCTTCTCCGCAAAGTAATCGCTGCTCATGAGTTGGCGTGCATAATGTAACAAATTAAACGTGCTAGTATAAATGTATATCAACACTCGTTCCAAAACATTTCTTTACTCACCATAAAAACGCTTGCAAGGCTTATGTACCGTCATATGTCTTGGATCTCGGACTGCTGAAGAGTGATGCGTTCGCGGAGTGCTGTCGTCGGTTAGTTTAGTAGTCCCTCTGAACTACCGCTTTGCTTGACGTGCTAATAGGTTGATGGTGTGCCATTAATATAACAGCCGGATCGAACTGAATGTTCGGCAGAATCAAGCAGAACTATTAGCCCTCATTAAGCGACGTCGCGGCCATTTTGCTTGTAGGTACTGCTCCTCCCTCGGCGCCCCTGCTCTCCCCAGTCACGTGACCTAGAATTCCCCCTTCTGGGGACAGTAGTTAACTTTAACCCACGGTTCGCGTTCGAGAAAACGGGCCCTGTGTTGTTTCTGTCGCTCATGTCGCCTTCCAAGCGGCACATGGCGATGAATACATATCAAGCTGTTCTTGAACACGTTTCGCAACCCAGTATTTGTTATTAGAAAACTGCAATTTGCCGTAACTAAATAGGGAAAGTTTATAATTGAATACTAAGCTTCCTTTGCTAATCTATCGATCGCAGTTTCTGGCAAATGTACTATCAAAATATGCTTTGTAAGTTAATGAGTCGTTATTTTTGTTAGCTCATGTGATTCTATTGTAAAGCACAAAAATGGTATCATTTTAAATATTTCGTTTTAAGATAGTCACTGTCTGTACAGTTCATTGCTTACTTTTTGCATTTTTGCTTACTTTTGCAACAGACCTTTTCCGGAAATTATCGTGGTAATTGATACTTCATAATTGCCGACGAAAGGTTCAATATCAGAAACTGTTCTTTATTTAAAAGCTAAATAATAAACAAACACCTAAAAATAAAGGTGCATTGAGACTATATCACAAAGAACTGTAATAGAAGTCTCTTGGCCAATGGCGTTGGGTGAGAGTATCCTCGGGTCCCCATACTACAAGAAAGCTCTTGTAATGTGAAGAGCTATCAAAGCGAATATTGCGGCACGACACTTTTAAGACGTATTCACACGAGGCAGAAATCCCTTTCTTTACTCCCCGACATGCACATCGTGTGGTACCACGAACACGCTTTCTCGTGGAGGCGCGCTGACATAAGCATCCCCGGAGAAAAGGAAAGCTTTCGCTCGGGCCATATAAACTGCCCCCGCCTTGGCGGATCATCTCGTCCTAATTGACGGCATTTTGTTCGCGTGCCTTGCAACTTTACAGATCGTGCTTTCCAGGAACTGGCGGTGACATTGGAATCACGACTTGAGCAGGTTGTCGGCTTGTTGAATTTTTCTTTTACTTTTTCACGAAATTTTTATTATCCATCAATGCAGTCCTCAAGAAGGTCCTCATAACATTGGATATAGATTACTCGTTATTTGTGTTACATTCACGCTTTCACCCAGCATCTTCTTTTTTTTAACAGGAAGCAGTTCGTCGTCTCCTGTATCTAATAGCGCTGGTGCCGTAATCGCGTACCGCCATCGAATGTACGCCTCCATTTTCCTACTCTGGACAGCTCGCACCGAGCCTTGCTGTCGAGAGTGCGACCCCTTAAGTCATCTGCTAATATCCTCTTCGGTCACCCGCCGTCCCTCTCCGAAAGCTGTCTTCATGTGAATACCCCTTTACAGCGATCTTTGAGGTGCGCTGCGTGAATATTTGTTAAAGCCTTATATGCCTCATCGTTCAGTCGACCGTCAAAGTCTTTGAATGAAAGTACATCAGCGACACGAAAAGTGCCAGAAACACGTCGGCGACACGGAACGTACCAAAACCAAAAGTACCATTGAAACGGTGCTGAAGTGCGTCGTCAAAGAGCGTGGTGTCTTCGGAGGTTCGCTATCACGTTTACATCGGCATTTGCGCTTTCACCTTCAAGTCGTCTAGGAATAACATAAAAGACCCCGTGAAATTTTATATTTTACTGTCGCAATAGCAAATCAGATTCCTTGTTAAAAGTATTGAGGATCAGGAGCTGGTGCATAATTTCACCCATTTTCCTCCCCCCCCCCCCCCCCCTCACACTTGGCGTTGAAATGCCTTCCCATAATTTAGGGGGAATGCAAGTTCGCTAACTTTATCGTTATACGGTCATGGGCTACGCTTGCACTTTTGGGAAATTTTTAGTACGTTAGGAAACCCTAGTCTTAAACACGTCGCGTGTAAAGTAGATAAACATAAAGGAACGACAACATATCGCTGAAAGCAACAAGAACGCCACAACGCTAAAACAAGATCGAAAAATACTGCTCCTGAACGGCCAGCGCCATAGTCACGCCTGAAGAGCGTAGTAGGCCTCGAAACGTAGAATTTCTACTTTTAGGACTTTGTTGGCTGACGTCCTTTATTTATTGTTCTCCGAACCACAAAGGTTTCTGTCAGATACTCATTTTTAAATGCAAAATAGATCCGCGCGCATTTTCTTAATATGGCTCGCACATTTTCCCGTGGGCACGATCGACTTCAATGCCACCGAATGGGACCTCCTAGGCCGCGTTCACACTTGCGGAGAACTCTCTAGCCGTCGACCAAACTTACTGTGCGTAATAAACGGCGCCGTTCACATCTGTTGCTACCCGGCGCGTTAGCGCGACTCCGGTCTTTCGCGGATATCAGAGCAGACCGCCTTTGGCTCGTGTGGTGTTTAAAAAACTTCTCTCGCAGACTTCCACTTTCAGTTAACGGTGACAAGCAGTGCCGAGAAAATGCCCAAC